CCCGGGGTTGACCTGGGCCTCTGGAAGTTACTCTGACCTCCCGGACATGTGGGTGCTGGGCAGACAGGGGTGTCTCTCTCAGTATTGTTCCTCTAATCTGCGGTGTGTGGGAAACAGAGGCTGTCAGGGTAGAGGCCTGACCCTGTCTCTACCAGCACAATACAGAGGGCGCAGATAAAGCACACTTTCCCACTGTCACACCAGCTCGTGCACACACGCACCGAGGCTGACCACAGCTCGCTCACGTCAGAGCAGGAATGCGCACTTCCCTGCTGACATGATGTGGCCGAGTGGATGGGCAGAGAGAGCCGGGGCTCAGACAGGGACATGGGGCAGAGGAGGGCAAGTGGTCAGGCACTGGGGAGGGGGCAAGGCAGGTGAGGGTGAGAAACAGGACGGCTCAGGTGAAGTCACAGGACACAGTGAGGCCCAGCAAGCTGGCTGGTGAGAACGTAAACATCGGGGGAAAAATTTGTTTTTGCAGTTTCCCAGTCTCTCTCTCTCTCTGCGCCCCCTCCCCCTCGCCTGCCAAGAGGAAGGGCTGCCGTCCCGTCCAGAGATGAGCCCGGAGATAATGAGAGAGTGGGAAGTTACCGCAGACTCTCACTGCCTCCCCCCTCCCCTGCTCTCACACTCGCTCTCTGGCTGATGGCGGCCCCTGGCGTGACCACAGGCCTGGCTGGGGTCTGCAGCTCTTAAAGGAGACCAGCCGGCCTGTCTGCCCTGGGACGATCGTGCTGTAGCTGCCAACCGCTGAGAACATCTGAGGATTCTGGGTCTCCATCTCCTTCATTCCGGAATTTGATTTATTTGGTCAAGTTTTCCCTTGTTAGGGGCTTTGTGGTAAAACAGCTTCTCTCAGTTGCCTTAAAACTGTCTTCAGCACATCTGCTGGCTGTTATAACTGGAGAGTCTCTTGAATGCGAGCTGTGGGCGCACTTTTCAGATCACAGATAGCCATTTTGCTCTTGGGTGGACATGCAGCTGTCCTCACTGATCAGCTGGAAGTTGGTTTGGCCATCTTGTTTTACGACGCTGTAGCTCAGCTCTGTCTGCTCTGAGTTTTCCAGCTGTTTCTGTCTCAGTAAGAGGACCTGTATGTATCTGCACAGAAGCAGCCTTGAAGAGGTTAAGTGTTGCTCGTCTGTTCTGTTATATAACCCTGGCTTTTGCTCTTTACATAGTCAAAGTAATCAGTGGAGTCTGAGCCCTGGAGATGGCCCAGCCCGGCCTGACGTCTCTGTCAGAGGCAGGGTGGGCTGACGTTCCCCGAGCTCACAGACAGAGGGATTATCGATGCTTCTGAAATGCTGTGGCAGTGCAGAGCATACTCCCCTGGTCATACTCTCGCTCGCCAGCTTCAGCCCAGTTCGTTATTTAAAGCACCAGTTTCTCCCCTACACCTGCGAGGAATTTAAGCCCAGGTCCTGTCAGTCGCTGGTGCGTCATCGATCTCGCTGAGCGGCAAGTTCCAAAAGCCGCTAGCTTCGGCTCAACGCGGGACTGGAGGATCGTTTTCACGGGTGCAGACTCTCTGTGCCCACACCTGATCTGTCACACCCCATCCAGCCCCAGGCCGCTGCTCCTGGACCAGGATGAAAATCGTTTCTCTTTTCACATATTTGTGCCGACTGCAGTGTGGAGAAAAGGTGCTACAGTATATTGAAATAGAAGAATGCAGACAGAATGCAATCCCAGAATCCAGGTCTGCCATCAGAGATCCTAGAGGATGCTAACATTTCACCTGGGCCTGCGTGGCAAAAGCTGTCCAGTCCTTTTTTTTTCACTGTAATTGAACAAACCTCACTTGTGCTTCTCAAAGTGCTTCAAAGTTTAACTGCACTTTGTCTGATGTCACCGCGACCTGCCACAGTGATAGACTCCTGCCCTGCTCTGCCATGGGCAACAGGCGCAGCTATGATTCTGTCTGAGCAGCAGCATCCGCAGGGCTGGTTTTCCTGAGGTGTGGTCACTTCCTCTCCTTCCTGTAGCCACGCCCCCCACAGGGGGCCCAGAGGTCAGAGGTCAGAGGGCAGGTAGCGTGGTGCCAGGCTGCCCCACTGAGAGGCTGGTGGCTGATTCGCCTGTGCTGGCCCTGCGTAGGCAAAAATGCTAATCCCTGGGGATTAGAGGGGAGTTTTAGCCATCTTGCGGGTGACATCAGAGGTTGTGAATGGAGCCTGGCTGGCCTAGAGTGAGGACAAGGGAAGGAGAAGGGAGGGCAGGATTAAAACCCTGACATCGCTCTCTCACACAGACACACAAACCCGTCTCCTTTTACTTTTTCCATCCGAGAGCACAAATCCCCTTATCTCTGGCTCGCTCCCGCTCTCCTGCTCCGTCCAGCGCAGCGCAGGGAGGGCGCCGGGCTCGCCTGCAGTGTCAGGGCCTCCGGCCTCGGTGTGATCTGAGAGCCGTTTTCCTGTGGCAGTTCCAGCTCCCTGTTGAACTTCCTGCAGCCAATTGTTTGGCGCGTGAAGCAGTGGAACTGGAAAAACACAATAACAAAGGTTGTTCAAAAGATATGGGTTTAACAGCGTCTCTAATCACCCTCTCCC